GAGCGCGCGCCCTCGGGCACCCCTCGCCCCTTCCCTCGGGCGAAAGGCTGACCTCCTTCGCTTCGTATTTAGAAGCCGGTTTTAATCTGAAGCCCTCCTCGAAGGGAAAGGGAGCCCGAAACGGAACGTGGGGGGGAAAAAAGGACAACAATGGAACGTGACTCAAAGGAGGGGTGTCAGATCTGTTGTAGAGTTCTGAAGGGTGGGTTGGATTCCCCTGGATGCCCTGTAAAAAGGGCCGGGAATCACGGAGCACAATAGCGTCGGGTTCCCCAGAGTAGGCCACCCCTCAGCCAGCACTTAACCAGCCCCCAATCACTCACTCTTGAGTCATGAGGTGGATGGGGGAAAAAAAATAAAAGATTTCATTACTGTTGAAGAGATTGAACAGCAAACCCACAAACATGACTGCTTTCGGCAATGGATTCAACAGATGCTAGAGAAGGAAAAAGATACTGAGCAAAAATACTGAGCAGGGAGGCAGGGCTGTTTTTGAATTCAGAGACAGGGAAGCGACCATTGGTTACTCTTAGGTTGAGTGACAGTCGCCCCAGCCCAGAAAGGCCCCTCTTAGCCCTAACCTACTGAAGGCAGCATACAAGATTTGAAAAAAACTCCAACTGTATCAAGGGCACTGAGAATGTCTACATAAGAAAGGCCTGTAATTATGGTCCCGCCTGAACACTTACTCGGGAGCAAATTGCATTGAAATCTAGGATTTACTTTGAAGGAGACATGCAGTGTACTGGATACTCAGTGTGGTATGGTGGACAGAGTGACAGACTAGGACTCAGGAGGCCCGGGTTTGAATGGCTGAGCCATGGAAACTCACTGGGTATGTGTGTGTGGAACTGGTAAGACCACTCCTTAAAGATACCTCACCATGAGAGTCCTATTAGGGTCACTGTAAGTCGGTTCCAGCTTGACAGCATTGAACAACTACAAGACATGCGTAGCATTGGATTGCCTCAAATCCTGTTAAGGAACTGCATGGGAGGGGAGAGTGTCTCTTGCCATCTTGTTTGGGTGGAGCACAACAGTAAAGAAAAACAAAAAGACAGTAGTCTCCTATGGGGTGGCTCCCAACCTTGGTTTACCCAGGACTTCTTGCATTGCAACTCCCAGAAACCCCTTGCCAGCGCAGCTGATGGTGAAAGCTTCTGGAAACTGCAATCCCAGAACATCTGGGTGACCCAAGGTTGGGAGCCATTGGACTGGATGAAGATGCTGTCAAATGATTCTCAGTACCCCATATTAAGCAGAAAAGGGGAGGGGCTCCCTTGGGTTTCCCAGGCCTTTTAAAGTACCAGCACCTTGAAATTAATCAGAAAAAACAAATTAGCAACTAGTGCAGCTCAAGCAAAACAGATGGTGTAATCGATTCCCTATAGATAACATCCTGGATGAGTCTGGTTGCAGCATGCCGAACCAGTTGTAGTTTCCAAACAGTCATCTAGGGGCAGTCCCATATAGAACACATTACAATAATCCAGATTATTAGCACCCAGGCTAGAGTGTTAGGCCTTGCTCTCTGAAAGAGAGAAGCTGTTGCTTCAACTTGGCCAACGAGAAGGAAGTTAAGGACCACAAAGTTGTGTTTTGTCCTCAGAGCTGGAACTCTTGGTGAACATGTGCACACTTTTTTGTTTGTTTATCTAGTACAGGCAGAAAGTCTGGCCTTGGTGGTGAGAGACTTGACAGGTGCCACAGTCTGTGTGAGGGCTTTGTGTTGAACTGTGCAGATTGCAAGAACATCACGTGCGTAGGCTGTTGGTGATGGTGTTGACTTCTGTACATGTTTGCCTTTCATCTGGGGTGGATATTTATTTGACTTGGTGTTTTTTTCCATTTTGGTTATGTGTATGTATTCTTTTTTTTTAAAAGCATGATTCAGTCCAAATGCTAACGGGCAATCAGATCTGGCTTCAGTACAACTCCTCCTTCATCATTGATTTCTTCCTGATTTGAATGGAGTCAAGACTTTAATGAATGTACGTGAACTTGGTTTTACTTCCAGACACCTGCTGTGTACAGTGTGTTTCTTCTGCCCACACATCAAGTTTTCTTTATGAATTAGAAGGGAAATATTTAGTCTCCTAGCCACTTGAAGAACTGATTTTGTGTCTCTCCCCTTCCCTTTGTCAAACACAGAAAGCATTCCTTAAACACAAAGTTC